AGTAGTAACTTAGTCTCAATAAATCAATAAGTAAAGAATTCATTACAAAGAATAATAATGTATTCAATACAAATTCGTACATTATCATTTTTAGAGCATTTATGGTTAATATTTTGATACTACTTATTAGTAGAATGAACTGTATCTAAATAAGTATGAAGTTTTGCATAGAAATTGATTATAATGTTAACGATGTAATCGTTTTATAGAAGGGTATATTGAAACAAATGCCGCTAGAAATATAAGTTTGTTGATTGTTTTTTACTTTGTATGATGAGAAATCTCAATAAAACTGTATGTATTACTGTTCATTAGAATCAGAGAAATGACGATGTTCCATGATTTGATCATAATTTCAATATAAGAACTTTTGTTGAAACTTATAATTTATGAATGACCTTTGAGAGACGCTAAAGTGATTTTGAGAATGTACACCTAATACTTACTTACTTACTTACGCCTGTTATTCCTCGTGGAGGAGCATACGCCGCTCATCAGCATTCTCCATCCAACCCTATACTGAACAATTTTTTTCAGCTCTTTCCATTTTTTATTCATCCTTTTCATATCTGCTTCTATTTCCCGACGTAATGTGTCCACCTAATAACTAGGACAAAATGAGGGTTATTAACCAGTGTGAGGAATTAGAATTATGATTTACAGTTGATGGTTAGTGTTAGGAATTACATTTAGGGTTTTCATCACAAACTGACAAAAGTTATAATGCCTAAACTCTATTTAGCCAAAAGGATGAATGAATTTCGCGCTAAAATCCAAGACCTGTTATTTTTAATCTGATTGGTTCGTCTACAAATTATAGTTTCGCCGGACTTTTTATTCCAGTAGATCAAGAAATAAAGGTTTACCTTATTTTGTTCAGATTTCATACAATCTGATGAGAATTATCTTCTTAATCGTAAATGTCTTATTTGAATTTAAGTACAGCTTACATCACGAACGGAATTCACATAAACATCCATTTTATGGAGCGGTGGCCCAGTAGTTAGGACGTCTGACTTTAAACCTCTAAATCCTGTGTTCAAACTACACTGTACCTACTTCTGCTTGAATAAAGTGATTGTATCTCTAGTCCTCACACTTGAAATGTGACCCAAAATAAACTGTACCTGGCTGCACCTAGTGAAGAAGTTTGTAAGAAAGAAGGAAAACCATTGAAACTAGGGTGTATTAAAGTTTTTTAACTGAACAGGAAAATCAACATTGCTTGATGAAAGGATGGAGGTAAAGAAGCAACAAATTTCAAGTTCGGCTAGTGTCTAGTTCTCCTTAAAGTGGGATTGAGTTGTACTACTCGAATTAAACCTGGGCAGTGTCTGGCTCTCCTTGTAAACGCGATTGGACCGTACTGTTTGGGTTGAATAAATATGATTAGGTCCTTTATTAAGGAACAACTCGATTGACCATTTCTCATTCATAAATCCTAGCGTACAAGACTCCTCAATAATGTATACTTTCAGTTCTTCTCCAGAACGCTAAAATTTATGGAGAGTTCACTACCTTTAGACATTTACAGTTAAATTAAATTATATAGAAGCGTGTTTTCCTAAATCTATGATGAAGAGTCTTCTCCCAACAAATTTGGTAACAAATTATTATTATCTTAGCCATGTTATCTTGTACATCCATTGAAACAGCTAGGATGTTTGTATGTGTTGTATTCCTGACAGATTAAGTATTTGTTAAACAAATTCAGGTGATCAAAAATGTAAAGATCATAGGATGTCGTGATATACAACATAAATTTCTATCTATGTGTTTTCATACCTCATTGGAATGAGATTCAGAATACATGAAGCCCAATAAGTCCTCAAAAATTTTATTAGTAGATGGTAATATATTCATAAAAGAGAAAGCTATTAACAACAAGAAAATTTAGGGATTTACGGAATATCATCCAGTGAAGTGTAGGTCGTTCTGTCATATGATTTGTAAATTTATTATAAAACAACCTAACACAATCATATTTGAGATAAAACTAAGGTAGATGCAAATTACTTATGTACTTAGAGTAGTAACAATAACACTTTGTTACCAAATTCGGAAAATTATACTATTTGTTAGAACCAGACTCTTCATCATTTCGAATCTCGCGGGGCGGGATCGTGGATGCGCACTGCTGAGGAGTCCCACAATCGGAAGAAACGGCCGTCCAGTGCTTACAAGTTTCCCATGATGGTCTAGCTTCAATTGACCTCAACCATTGAAATTATAATATCCACCAAAACCCTTCTTCATCATACCTTTAGGAAAACACGTTTTTTGATTGATCGTAAGGCAAAGTGGACAGAATGTATATCGGACATATTTCAAACTATTAAAAATGTTGTTCCCCCTTTCACTGATTACCTTTATCACCATGTGCCCATTTCATAATCGCTTTTATTATAATGTACTCCTGTTTTATTTGTCCCCTTTGCTGGCACTCTTATTACTATGAACTGTTTAAATATTATGCTCTGTTTCTTTTATGAATAGTTTTTTCAGTAATAAGGGCTATTTATTTTTATCACTTACTTACTTTCGCCCGTTACCCTTCGTGGAGGAACATAGGTCTCTCAACAACATTCTCAATCGAAATTTGTCCTGAACAGTCGTTTCCAGTTTCTGTCAGTTGCTATTAATCCTTTTGATGTCTGATTTCAATTCCCAACGTAGTTGGTTCTTCCACCTTCCTCTTTTCCGTTTCCCTTCACTATTCAAAGTTAGCGTTTGGATCGTGATGCAGTTTGATGATTTCAGCAATGTATATCCTATCTAGTTCCAATGTCTTCTCTTAATTTCATCTTCAGTTGGATGTTAGTTTGTTCTCTCTCATAGTAGGCTATTGCTGATGGTATCCAACTAGTTAACATTGAGTATCTTGTGTAGACAAGTGTTTGTAAATGCTTGAACCTTTTTGATGATGGTTGTAGTAGTTCTCGAAGTTTCAGCTCTGTACAGTAGAACTATGTTGAAGTTGGTATTGAAGATTGTGACTTTGATATTAGTTGATAGACAGTTGTTTTGAGTTCCATATGTTCTTCAAGTGTATGAATGTTGTCCTTGTTTTTACAATCCTTACCTTTACATCTACAATGGGTCCTCTTTGTTCATGGATGATACTGACCAGGTACGTGAAAGTGTCCAACTCTTTCAAAACTTTTTCATCACGTGTGATTGAGTTGGTGTTGTCCATGTTTTTCTTCAGAATTTCGCTATTTCCTCTGTGTATGTTTAGACCCACTGATGCAGGGGCTTCTAATGCACTGGTTGTTTTAACCTGCATTTGTTGGTCTTTATGGGATAGAAGGGACAGGTCATCTGCAGAGTTCAAATCGTCTAGTTGCATACAAGCTCTCCATTGTATTCCGTGTATTCCCTGAGATGTGGTCATAATAATCCAGTCGACCACCACCAGAAGAAAGAGGAAGAAGGAGATTAAGCAGCATTGTGTGACTCTTAGTTGTCCTCCATACATGACTTTGTAGTGTAGTTCGTCTCACGAATTGCGGATGATGTTGACGATTTTCTAAGGTACATTATAGTGTCAAAGAAGGTTCCATAAGGTTCTCCTATCGACTCATAGTCATCAAGGAAATTCATGTACTGTGATGAGTTGCATTCAATTAATTGCTGAACGATGACCCTTAGTTTGGCGATTGTGTCTGTGCACGAGCAATGCTTACGAAATCTGTGGTGTTGATCTAAAAGTTGGGCGTCTACTGAGTGTTTCATCCAGTTTAGTAACAGTGTTGAAAACATTTCCTGGTACCGATAGTAGTTTAATTTCTCCACAGTTCTCATATTTGCTCAGATCTCCATTCTCTGTTATTTTGACGAGGTGTCCTTCTTTCCAGTCTGTCGGCATTTACTGTTATTCCTAGATCTTCCCGATCAGAATATGGAGCATATTTGCAGTTACTTCTCTCTGACCTCAGAGCATCAGGTGGTATATTGTCAGATGCTGCTACTTTCCCACTTTTGTTTTGTTTGATGACCACTTTGATTTCTTCGATCGTTGGTGGAGTGACAGCTGTAGGGAGGTCTGTATGTACTGCTTCGATATCTGGTTGAGTTAATGGAGCTTGCCTATTCAAGAGTTCATCAAAGTTTTCTACCCATCTGTTCTTCTGTTCTTGAATCTCAGTGACTAGCTCACCTTATTTGTCCTTGACCGGTCTCTCTGATTTACTATAATTCCTTGTCATTTCCTTCGTTGTGTTATATAGTTGTTTGATATTTCCTTCTGTTTCAGCTTTTTTGGCTGTCGTAGCTAGGTGTTTGACCCATATCCACCCTCCCTATTTTACCTGGTCTCTAGTTTGTCAGTAACATTAGGAAGGCTATAGGCGGCATGTGTAGTAATTTATCTCTTCATTCGTCTCCATTTAAAATTAAAGTTTACATCCTAATACCGCTAATTAAAATTTTGCAATTTTACTTAACTATATTACTTAGAAGTAGAGGCGGCGTCGAGCGGAATGTTCCGGTGAAAGGCGTTGGCTTTAGCTTGTTCTGTCGACGGAGAGGAGCGTGAGAGTCAATGGTTATTTCTGTTAAATCCTACATTGATTATGACTGATTGGTTTATCCCTTGTTTTTCCGTCATTATAGTGTCTTGAACTATCACTGTTTCTGTGAGACCATAATTTATGGACAACCTTTGAGTGACGCTATAGTGGCCTTGAGAGTGCCTACCTACTAGGGCTATATGAGGAATATAAACCATTTTGAAAAATAAGGATTATGATTTACAGTTGATGGTTGATTAGGGTTAGGAATTAGATTTAGGGTTTTTATCACAAACTGACATAATCTATAATACCAAGACTCTATTTCGCGAAATGTGTGAATGAATTTCGCGCCAAAATCTCAGACCTGTTATCGTAAGTCTGATTGGTTCATCCATAAAATATAGTCTCGCCGTTTTTTTACTTCCACATAATAAAAGTTCATATTTATGTTTCTTTTGTATATATGGGTATTTCTTGGTGGATCAGCGTGTTAAATCAGGTCAATACTCTTCACCTCAAGCTTTTCTTGGAGATTTCCGATGGATACTTCATAATTGTATCATATTTAATGGTGGTGAGTGTTTCTTTTGTAACTTTTTTTTCCCAATGAACAATAGTATGTATATATGAAAATGATGGTTACGATTAAATTCAGTGGTTGTTAGCGGGATTTAGATTCAATTAAGGCATATTCCATACAGGATTGTATTGGAACACTCTGACTGGCTGTTTCTTAACCAATCAATGCTAGCGGATACTTGGCAAAAACTCTAGAATATTATTGTGTAAAAAATTATCAATATACTAATGTTTCTCTTATGGTAATACTCACTTCAATTCAACCTTTTTTTACTTGGAATATAATTACGTTCCTGTTCAACCGTGTTCTGATATGGAAAGTTGCCGAGTGAATTAGTGCCCAAGACTACTAAGCAATAAGAGTGTCTTGGTCGTAATAAATGAGTTCATAACAATGGTGAACTAAATATTATCTGCAAGATTAATCAAAACTATATATAAAATGGGTCAAATGCTTATGTAGACTATCTTTAACGTCATAATGATGTTAAACTAGTAGTAAATCATCGAGTATGCAACGCATCTGGTAGCGTAAAATATGGACCACAGGATTTCAAATCAGCGGTTCTAAGTATGTCTTGCTTACAGTAAGATATGAAGGTCTTGGTCTTGGTCCGATGTGGTGTTATAATTGCACACTTTTAGAGGGTTCTTTCAATGGCCATTAAGGTTAGAGGATACTCGTAAGCTACTAGTATTTGACCACAGATGCCTTAGAAATATTACTCGCATCTACTGGGATCACCATGTAAGCTATAATGAGGTTAGACTCAAGGTATTAGAGAATGGTAGCAAATCAGTTGATGAGGTTGCAAATCTTCATCGATTGAGATGGTTCGGTCTCGTGTTACGTATGCTTGAATACCTATTACCTTAACGCGCAATGCATACTAGTGTTGGGGATGGTTGTAAGAAAGTTAGGGGTGGACAAATCAAAATGTTGCGTCAGTTATCGAAGTCATAACACATTAATAATCCAGTTAGATTGTAGTTGAAAATGGCATTTCGGGATAAATCAATTTTTCGCTAAAAGTGTTCATTTTTCTTCTTTAATTTTAGCCAGTTCTTCTATTACATCATCTGCACGTCTTCTAGATCGTACATTTCATCGTGAGTTTAATTTGATGCGTGCTTGTCCAACATGTTATCTTAATCGTATACCAGCAATTCATTTATTACCATCGACAACTAGAAAGCTACCTCCATTAACTGAAGATGAACCTGAATCTTATTTAACTGTAGCTTCAGTACAATCATCATTGTTATTACCAAATGAATCAAATGCGATCATTGAAAATGATAGTATCAGCGTTGTCAATGGTGTTAACGATGAATGCAACAATAATACTCCTACTAATACTACTAGTAATAATAACGAATCCAAAAGTTCGTCATCATCATCGGTATCTACATTAGATCCTTGGTGGTTTTGTAAATTATGTGTAAGTATTTATATGTTTGTTTTATTTACGTTGGGATTGAGCCATTAATCTTGGATAAGTATCAAATGTATAATCACCAGGAACACTCAGCCATTTACATATATATAAGTATATACATGTAGCTATGTGAACTCAGTAGCTAAAAGAGATAATGATTTAGTATTTAATTTTGAGTCACAGTGTGAAAATTAACATTGAGATTACATTAGATACTTTCAATTGATCAGTTCGTAATAAAAGGGATTGTAAATTTAAAAAATTCACTGTTAGCTATTATTCAACTTTACTAAAAATTGTACTTAAATGTAATATAGAGACACAAACGCTGAAGATTTCTGGGGGGGGGGGTTGACACATCTCAAAAATGATCACTGTAAGTTAAATACAGTTATTTTACTCTATAAATTCATTCACTTCTTCGAACCCTGTGTTGTTTATATTTAGTTCTGCTCACAGTTATATTCAAAGTACCATTATATAGTTGTATAATATACCCTTGTGAACCAGGGTCATTTTACATTGGTTTTCAGAACCAGACACCATCCAGATTTTCACATGACAACCCAAACAGTACAGCTCAATCCTGTTTACATGGAGAGCCAGACACCGCCCAGGCTTAAATTTAGTAATTCGAGAAGTACAGATCAGTCCCGCTTCACAGGAGAACCAGACACCGTATATGCTTTAACGCTACAATCTGAATAGTATAGCTCAATCCTATGGCGCAACCACACAGGTATCAAGCACCCTGGTGGATCATTCGCACCATTCACATGACATTTATAGTTATTCCGATCAATGGTCGCGTGAAGTACCATTACTTTGACTTATTCTCGATTCATCTTATTAATTTTATCTCACTATGTTAATATGTGTTAAGAAAGAGCAAATATATAACTCAGTAGTTTTTAGTTATAATTTTCAGTTACTTAATATAATAATTGTGATAATGAGAAAATCAATGAAAACCTGGAAGCACTGGATGGTCGTTTCGTTCTAGTATAGAACTTCTCAGCAGTGCGCATCCACGATCCTGTATGCAGGACTCGAACCCTAAGATTCTTTATATTTTAAAATCAAAGAACTACATTATCTGTGTACAGATAAAGAGCATTCGTCTACTCAATGTATTATCATTGCCTTTGACTAATAATACTATACATTCTAAGCGTAATCCAATTAGCTACTTACGCCTGTTACGCCTCGTGGAGGGGCATAGGCCACCCACCAGGTAACCCTATTCTCAAGCCCTAAAATTCATATACCTGAATTGTAGTTAAAACTCCTAACCCTAATCCATCATCAATACATCTTATCTATCTATGGTTTTTATCTAATGAAATTGGTGTTACTTTCTTATGATTCGTTTAAGGGTCACTGAATCTTATTACTATAATGTACTTTTACATTTTCAAACTTGCGTGTAAGCAAATGATTGAAACTAAATATTTGTCCTATCTATAATTCGATTTTTATCATAAGAATTATCATTATCATTACTTAGGATGTGATTCATCCGATTGTCTGGGTACGTCTTCAAAATTATCCACGTTGGCCAGCCAAAGTAATTGCACATGATGGTAACTTTCTTCTTGTCTCATTTTTTGGTGATTATGATGTGACTATTGCACCGATTGGTTCCGCTAAACTTCATTCATCTAGTCAATCAAAAAGTTTATCAAAACTATCTACCATCACTATAGATTCTATAAATAATAATAATAATAATATTGACAAGGGAAGTAAATTTGATTGTAGTGGTACCAAATCCATTACTTCTATTGATAATAATGATATTTCTAATGAATCTAGTGTAACTTCTCAATCTTCCAAGACAATTTCATCATCATTACCTTCAACATTAACAACAACAACAACAACAACAACAATGGATCCTATGGTTAAAGAGAATTTTCATAAAGCTGTTGCAGAATTAAATTATCATCTAAATTTAATTTATCAACGTTATCCTAAATTTAAACTACCTATTAGTCAATTGAGATTTACTAAACGTCATGTTAAAAAATACTATGGGTAAGTAATTATGAAAGTACAATTTTATTATTGAATGTCTATAAATTTTCAGTGTTATCATCGATCAGTCATAACTTGGAAAAGCCCAGATTGATTTGAGTTTACTATTATTTATTTATTTTAACACATAGATATTGGTACAAGGGGACACCTAATATATAAGCGCCACAAAAATCTCATTTTATTTGTATGAGGGTTGTGATACTGCCCGGGTGCCAAGACTGAAGCAGGTGATTTTCTTAGGGGACCATATCCGGAACCTTCGACTTGAAGGTCTGATCCACAAGGTAGTGGAGCATCGTGAGGAGATGCAGTCCGATGGTAACCAGTGACCAACGATTAGTTCATACGCCATTTTTTCTTCAGGGTACTGGAGTCCATGTGCACCATTGATTTGGAATGAGGGTTTTCCAACTCACGTAGATGGACTCTCCATGTCCACCAACCCGGTTAAAGCTCCGGACATACGCTTTTCTTCCTCTCAATTTCGTAAACAACACCCTCGCCACGAGAAGGCAATGAGTAGGACTTCTCTGGCTGAGGCTATATACGCGTGCCCATGTGTGAGCATTTGAAGAGGGAGAGAGGACTCTCTCCACTCTCGGTCGTACCCAGGGTATTTGGGGGCTAACAAATCAGATAAGACTATATATTGGAAACTAGAGAAATGACTCGAATCTAAATTATCTAAGATCAGAATTCACAATGTTTGTGATCCATGTGATCGATCTATAACTAAATGATGTATTTATCACTATCATTCATATTTATGTGATCTGTACAATAAACTGATCAATCAAATATTATATATTTTTTGCGAAAATTAGTTACCCTATTGAAATGCTCATTGAATATGTAGTAATAGGTCTCAATATACACAAAACAAAAAGCAAGATTCTCATATCCAACATGGAGGAAAACCAATTCAATCACATTTGATGAAAAAGTTTTGAAAGAGATGGACACTTTCACGTACCTGGTCAACATCGTCCATGAACAAGGAGGATCCGATGTAGATGTAAAGGCAAGGATTGGAAAAACTTGGAGAACTACCACAACCATTATCAAAAAATCACATGTATCTATGAACAATTATTTAGACAAGGTACTCAATGTCAATTAGCCGGATACTATCAGCAATAGCCTATTATGAGAGAGAAAATACCAACATCCAACTGAAGATAAAATTAAGAGAAGACACTGGAACTAGATAGGGCATTCATTGACGAAATCATCAAACTGCATCACGAAACAAGCGTTAACTTGGAATCGTGAAGGGGAACGGAAAAGAGGAAGGTAGAAAAACAAACTACGTTGGGAATTGAAATCAGAATTCAAAAGGTTGAATAATAACTGGAAACGGTTGTTCAGGACGAAGTTCGATGGACAATGCTATTGGGGTAGCCTATGCTCTACTCATTGGTTCTCCCGGCGGGGGTGTTGTTTACAAAATTCATTGGATGAAAAGCCAGTGTTCGGCACTGTAGCCGAATTAATCGGTTCAGAGGACAAAGATATGGTACTAGATATAAAGGATTCAGCATATTATTTAGTGATTGTTGTTTTCTGCCATATTTCTGTTATCCCAATATTAATATAGATTGCTTTCTTACGATAATTTACTGATTCATCGATTGTCTGTTAGTCAAGTTATCTTTTATTCAGATTTAATCTGTTAAGCAATGTGATTTAGATTGATATGACTTTAAGTTTACCTGAAGTATTTTCAATATAATTTAATTCGTTTATACTTTCTCACTTAATGTTGTCCACAATAATCACTCAGTTTATGTTAGTTAGGGGCAGATAAACCAAAAAATGGCATCAGTCCTTGAAGTCACTAAATTCTAGTCTGAGCTATGTAGATAGATGGAGACGACTTGACTGGAGTCTGCGTGATTATCGTAACCAGTAGTGGTTAGAGACTCTGGGTAACATGGCTCAGAATCGATTACAATGGCATAGGTGTATACACTCTTTGTCTTTCCTTAAACAATGAGATTAAAATTACTTTCTACCTTTCTTTTTACGAACTAGTTCTTTCTTCCTCTATCATAACCTTAGATGCAATCCTTTTTTAAATATTACCGTTGAAGTAACTACTTCTATTAATTTGTTGTTCATCTTGTTGTGTTCATGAGGTATGGCAACTTGGACCGATGCCTATATGTGCCTGGTCCTACATTGTAGATGACTGACTGTTAACCTGATTGTTGATAATTAATAATTTTCATTGGTGATGTAAACATTATTGAGTTTTCTTGAAGCGAAAAACAAATAAACATTTTCTATATATCAGAAGGGGTTTTGTGGAAGTTTTAGAAATTTCACCTGGAAGCACTGGACAGCCGTTTCGTCCCAGCACGGGACTCCTCATCAGTGTGCATCTACGATCCCACCTCACGAGATTCGAACACAGGACTTATCGGTCTCACGCGCAAGCGCTTAACCACTAGACCACTGAGCTGGCTGGCATCCGATGGCGTTAATGTCTAACTTCAACTAATCCACGAAATTGAGCGCCACATCTACCGTTGTCATCAGTGAGTTATTATGTCACATCAGACCCGGTTGAACTTTACTGATCACTGTTTCTCATTAGAACTCCAGGATATACCTCTTGAAGCCAGTCAGTAGTGAGCATATGTTGATTAGCATCAGAATAGGTTTTTGTGGATATTATAGTAATTTCAATAGTTGAGATCATATGTCAATTGAAGCTAGACTATCATGGATGCAACTGCCACCCAGTGCTTCCAGGTTTTCCAGAAAAACCCCTTCTATTGGTAATTTCATTGTCTAATTGTAAACCTAATCAATTACTATTTTTATTCTCATGTAATATTTCTCCGTTCAACTTGTATCGATATTATACTTTCCATTCTTTCTCTTTCTTTTTTTGGTCTGTTGATTAGAATTATGGACTATTGAACTGATTTGTAGTTGTATTAGGCGTTATTATCTTAACCTTGAATCAGTCTGAATTTTATGAATAGTTAATGATTGCATAGAATCAACAATCTAGGCCATATTATGAAAAACTCATAGTCTAAATAATATTTAATCTTATATGAATCTGTTTACTTGAAAAAAAAGTAATGTGTCAGATGACCTACATTGAAGAATTCTTAGAACTATTTGATCAAATAAACAACACTGTCTCAATCAAACTGGCTTCATTTGTCTCCAATCTATATAATCAAGTTGTATCATCTTTTCCGACAACCAGAAACCTAAATTAACGTCTCCTTAGTACATTAGGTTCACTGACTTCTCACGACGGAAGTGTTGTTTACGGAATTCAGAGATTAAAAAGCGAATGGCCAGCACTTTAACCGGGTTAGTGAATATAGAGGATCCGCCTAGAGGAGTTGGAAAACCCTGATTCCAAATCAATGGTGCACATGGGCTCTAGGATCCTGAAGGAACAAATAGTATATGGGATTGCATCTCCTCACATTACTCCATTACCTTGTGGATTAGATCTTTGATTCAAAGTCTCCGATTGTGACCCTCTAAGAAAACCAATTGCTTCGGTCTGGTCAGCCGGGCAGTATTATAGCTCACACACACAAATCAAATGACTTGTGTCATGTATATGTACTTAGTACCTTATTGTACCAATGTTTATGTGTTTAAATAAACAAATATAGAAATCAACCAGACCAATATTATACTATAACATTATCTTCATTATTCAATTGACTTAAGATCATAACATTTATGTATAATGTATGAATATGGATGATCCATCTAGGGGAGTTGAAGAACCTTGATCTCAAACCAATAGTTGCATATGAATTTTTAGCATCCTGACAGAACAAAAGATGTATGAACCTATTGTTGGTCATCGTCTAGCATGAAATTACATCTCCTCACGTTACTTCACTGCCTTGTGGATTAGAGCTTTAGGTTGAAGGCTCCACCCGCTTCAGTTTGGACACCCAGGCAGTATCACAGCTCTCACACCCTTACCTTATTGTACCAATGTTTTATGTGTTTAAATAAATGAATATAGAAATCAACCAGACCAATATTCTACTATAACATTATCTTCATTATTCAATTGACTTAAGATCATGACATTTATGTATAATATTCACAATAAATCGTTTCATTTGTTTATCTATTTATCATTATTATATATGATGACCTTTTATTATTATTTTTTTTTAAAGTTAGCTCATTAAATACCTGATTAATATTGTCTTATTGTTTTTCTTCTTTCATTACCACCACTACTACTACTACTATTACTACTACTATTCTTGTTCTTAAATTGTGATCATACCATGTATCTATGTATCTATCTATCTATTTAAATAAATAAATTTGTTACTATAGATTGGTATTGTTTAATTAATGCACTTACAATGTTAGTGTATGCAACTAACCTACCTTACCTACCTACCTAGCTTACCTGCCTACCTACCTACCTAACTACTATCGACTGGTCATTAGTTATAATTCTGATGAATGAAGTTCTTCAAAATGTATGATAAGTGAACAAGTGAGTGAGTGTATGCATGCGCGCGTGCGCGCGTGTGTGTATGAGAGAGCAAGCGAGAGAGAGAGAGATAGGTGTGAAACAATACTTTTGGTGAGTTTGTGTTTTACTTGATTGAAGAAAAAATTTGTTCAAAGTTCAATTATATATAAAATTTTTTCAGATTACCTTTTTTTTCTACATGTGAAACTATAGAAAATTGAGTGCTATTCTTTAGTTAGACCAAAGAACAACTCAAATATATATATAGTAACTGTATATATATATATATATATATATATATATATATATATATAGGTGTGTGTGTGTGTATACACATCTGTTTCTACCTTGTTCTACTACTGTTATTGTTCACGGACCTTAGTAATTAACCATTGACCAAGTATATATATATATATATTCTGTGAATTTATCATATTATTATTACTACCACTGCTACTACTACTACTACTACTGCTACTACCTGAATTACAATTTGGCATTAAACACATTGAACATATTTTAGTTATATGATATACAATCTGATTTTGATTAGAATTTTTTTTTATAAGTTTCTACTTTTGTGATATTCTTCAGCATCTATCTGTAAGTTGGCATCATATTTTATAATTGTTATTTATTATTTATGAATAATTCATTGATGATTAATGTGTATATGGGGGGTTAGATTTTTTTTAATTTCTTATTGATGGGTCATGTTGGTAGGTGTAGACTATCTGGTTGGGATTCGTGAGATGATAGCAACTGATGGTTAGAGAGGTTGAATGTGATATGGCTCAAAATGGTTTATAATGGCACAGGTATATCCAGTCTTTGTGTTCTCCCAAATTTTTAATCTGCTGAATCCTCGTTGTCTCCTTTTTTTCTCTTTCGATATTTATTTCACTGGATTATACTCCTTGAATAACATCTTCAAAGCTAAATGTTTCCGATTACTGCTTACACTTTTACTACCTCTAACAATGGGATTTGAATCGATAACTGCACCTCTGTTCTAATGTGGTATGGCAACTTGATTTGATGTACATACGTATGTACGTACAAACTTCTACGTTGTTACTGACTGATTGACCTATTGATTTATACATTATGAAAGAATCAATATTCGATGATGATACTTCAGGAAAGGTAATTGAATGTTGACAACTGTTTGCAGCTGATCACATACGACCTATCAGTTAGCAAATGAATAAACTGTATGTCTACATATATATAGCTGATGAAGTTATAAATATTAATTAACAAGTAATAATGTCAAAATTAAAATTAGACAGTTCTTGATTGAGGCAATGAATCAAGTGATGTTAGACCACCATTGAAAACTTTGAAGCACTGTACAGATATTTCGTTCTATTATGGGACTCCTCAGCAGTGAGCATCTACGATCTCGCTCACGGGATCCGAACGCGCGAACGCTTGACCTCTAGACCACTGAGCCGCGCCACACAAATCTCATTTGACTTGTGTGAGGGTTGTGATACTGCCTGGCTGCCCAAACCGAAGCGAATGGTTTTCTTAGGGGGTCACACCCAGAGCCTTTGACCTTAAGGTCCGACCCACAAGGCAGTGGAGCATCGTGAGGAGATGCAGTTCCATGGTAGCCGGTGACCAACGATTGGTCCATACGCCATTTCTTCCTTCAGGATACTAGAGCTCATATGCACCATTGGTTTATAATCAGGGTTTTCCAACTTCCCTAGGTGTACTCTTAGTGTCCACTAAACCGGTTAAAGCGCCAGAATTCGCTTTTCGTCCTTCTAATTTTGTAAACAACACCTCGGTAGGAGAAGGAAGTGAGGACTTCCCTGACAGAGACTATCCCACGGCTAGTCACTGTCCATCTTTGCTTTAAAAGCTTGTGATTTAAGGCTTTATCGATGCAATCCTCACAGGATGCACGTATGCCAACATAAGACTAATCAATTGCAGTCCTAAATAACAATGGGAAAATATAAGTAAAACGACACCAAGTGAATTTATGTGTTTTTCCCGTCTGTTTCTAGTAAATCTGATCATTTGTCGATATTTACAATTAATTGATCTCTAGTTTCATGATTTTCCAATTCTTTGATACTAATCGAATTGTAATGCAGCCATTGGTCTAAGTGAATTAACATCCAGTAGAGTATACTGTGATATTATGTTACATGGTTGAAAGTAGTCTTCAAGAAATCCATAACTTATGTTTTAGGCTAGTTAACATTTATCAAAAAGACACACCTTAATCGATAAAATTTGATCAAACAAACATGACTATAATTACTATTCTGTGAAAGAATATCAATTCTTGCAAGATTACACGTTCTCCCTCATGATGAGTAACAACTAGCAGGAAACTTAGGACTAGGGTTTCTGATCAACTACCACCTCTAACCGC